TTGAATTGAATTAATGTACCTGGCTGCTATGATGACCCAATTTCCCTCCGGGGATTAATAAAGTCTATCTATCCATCCATCCATCCATACAGACTATATACTGTGTGTGAGTGTTTTACTCTGATGTGGATCAGGACAGATCTGTGATCCGATCAGACCACTTCAGTAGGTGGTCTGATCGGATCACAGTGAGTCTCTGTGGTTGTTTGTATTTACAGCTGTCTGCTCTCTTTCTTTATTTATTGTTTTTATTTGTAATTATATTGTACAGCAGCTGGTGGTGTAGAGTGATGTATTCTGGGATGTGGAGTGAATCTTTGTTCATCTTGTGACTGTGACTCACTGCAGATCACAAGACTGATGAGTCACTGTCAACTGACACACACCCTGCTGCTGATTGGCTGCTGCAGCATCCACAGTGTCTGTATTATTAATAAATGCGGATCAATAACTTTATTCATCCAAAACCATTTAAACAGGATATTTAAATCTATTGATGTGAACTAATTAAAGTGTTTCATAATTACTTTCACATCTTCATTAAATAATAAAGATGATTAATAAAGCTTCAATATATCAGATATAATAGCTACAGTTTATTGATCCATGAAATAAACTGTTAATTTTAATAATTAAAATATCTTCAGTCAGTGGAAACATTTGACCAGAAATCACAAATTAATATTCATTCTTTACAGATCATGTTTGATCTTCTATCATAGATCAATAAACTGACAATTTATTGTGTCTGTAGGTGAACATTTTCTGTTTTAAAGACGGAATCAGTTAATGAGGACAATAAATAGCTTTATTTGACACTTTCTCTTTCTTTCTATGACACTCTTTCTTTGTTGAAGTGATATTTTTATGTAAATGTTTAAAATGTATCAAATCGCTTTTGATTGAAGATATTTCAGTGTTTTATAACGATGACTCTGCATTATTTAATGTGAACTTTACTCACTCATTTTAGGGAATTTCCCTCTGGAAAGTGCTTCGTCATTCCTCGGCCTCTGATTGGTCATGTGGGCGGGACTCCGTCAGGAGACCAATGGGAAGTCGCGTAAATATTTACTTGTCCTGACGACGGTGACGTTGATCCCGGAAGTAAACAAGAAGGAGGCAGAGAGGATTTAAAGCTGCGTCACCAGTTTGTCACTTTATTTCAGAGTTTTCTCTCTGGAGTTTGGTCCGTTGTTCTCCGCCTCAGAGTCCGCAGTGTGCCCGGGAACAGCAGCAGCATGTCGGTGACAGTGAAGGCCTACCTGCTGGGGAAGGAGGAGGTCGTGAAAGAGGTCCGGAGGTTCGCGGTGGACCAAGATGTTTCCTCCAACTTCGAGTATCTGAGCAGCAAAACGGCGGGAGTGTTTACTAACCTGAAAAACAACTCTTTCAATATGTTCTACAAAGGTAAATAACAACAATGATATATAAATAATAAAATGTTCTACAAAGGTAAATAACAACAGTGATATGTTTAAATAATAACATGTTCTACAAAGGTAAATAACAACAATGATATATAAATAATAACATGTTCTACAAAGGTAAATAACAACAGTGATATATAAATAATAACATGTTCTACAAAGGTAAACAACAACAGTGATATATAAATAATAACATGTTCTACAAAGGTAAATAACAACAGTGATATGTTTAAATAATAACATTTTCTACAAAAGGTAAATAACAACAGTGATATATAAATAACAACATGTTCTACAAAGGTAAATAACAACAATGATATGTTTAAATAACAACATTTTCTACAAAGGTAAATAACAACAGTGATATGTTTAAATAATAACATGTTCTACAAAGGTAAATAACAACAGTGATATGTTTAAATAACATGTTCTACAAAGGTAAATAACAACAGTGATATATAAATAATAACATGTTCTACAAAGGTAAATAACAACAGTGATATGTTTAAATAATAACATTTTCTACAAAAGGTAAATAACAACAGTGATATATAAATAACAACACGTTCTACAAAGGTAAATAACAACAATGATATGTTTAAATAACAACATTTTCTACAAAGGTAAATAACAACAGTGATATGTTTAAATAATAACATTTTCTACAAAGGTAAATAACAACAATGATATATAAATAATAACATGTTCTACAAAGGTAAATAACAACAGTGATATGTTTAAATAATAACATGTTCTACAAAGGTAAATAACAACAATGATATATAAATAATAACATGTTCTACAAAGGTAAATAACAACAGTGATATATAAATAATAACATGTTCTACAAAGGTAAATAACAACAGTGATATATAAATAATAACATGTTCTACAAAGGTAAATAACAACAGTGATATGTTTAAATTATAACATTTTCTACAAAAGGTAAATAACAACAGTGATATATAAATAACAACATGTTCTACAAAGGTAAATAACAACAATGATATGTTTAAATAATAACATATTCTACAAAGGTAAACAACAACAGTGATATGTTTAAATAACATGTTCTACAAAGGTAAATAACAACAGTGATATATAAGTAATAACATGTTCTACAAAGGTAAATAACAACAGTGATATATAAATAATAACATGTTCTACAAAGGTAAATAACAATGATATGTTTAAATAATAACATGTTCTACAAAGGTAAATAACAATGATATGTTTAAATAATAACATGTTCTACAAAGGTAAATAACAACAGTAATATGTTTAAATAATAACATTTTCTACAAAGGTACTTAACAACAGTGATATGTTTAAATAACATGTTCTACAAAGGTAAATAACAACAGTGATATATAAATAATAACATGTTCTACAAAGGTAAATAACAACAGTGATATATAAATAACAACGTGTTCTACAAAGGTAAATAACAACAATGATATGTTTAAATAATAACATGTTCTACAAAGGTAAATAACAACAGTGATATATAAATAACAACATGTTCTACAAAGGTAAATAACAATGATATGTTTAAATAATAACATGTTCTACAAAGGTAAATAACAACAGTAATATGTTTAAATAATAACATTTTCTACAAAGGTAAATAACAACAGTGATATATAAATAATAACATGTTCTACAAAGGTAAATAACAACAATGATATGTTTAAATAATAACATTTTCTACAAAGGTAAATAACAACAGTAATATGTTTAAATAATAACATGTTCTACAAAGGTAAATAACAACAGTGATATATAAATAACAACATGTTCTACAAAGGTAAATAACTTTTCAAAAAGAGCAGGTCTAGACCGAACTCTTTAAAACTTTAATTACAGAGACCCAACAGTACCACCATGAGCAAGCACTTGGCGACAAGGGCAAGGAAAAACTGCCTGTTAAAAGGCAGAAACCTAGGACAGATCCTCCGGCTCTAGGTGGGTGGTCGTCTGTCTCGACCAGTTGGGGTGAGAGAGAGAGAGAGAGAGAGGCAGAGAGAGAAAGAGCGAGAGACAGACAGACAGGTGCACAGCAACAACAGTATTGGCAATGGCAATATAGCAGGACCATGGCAGGAGGCTCCACCAGGATCCATAAGAACCTGCAAGACGAGAAAGCACAAGAACTCCGGGGAAGAAGTGAAGTTAGTAACATGCATTAATGGGACATGAATGAGTGCAGAAAGAGAGAGGAAGGGAGGAGCTCAGTGCACCATGGGAAATCCCCCGATAGTCTAGGCCTATAGCAGCATAACTAAGGGATGGTTCAGGACTCACCTGATCCAGCCCTAACTATAAGCTTTATCAAAGAGGAATGTCTTAAGCCTACTCTTGAATGTGGTGAGGGTGTCTGCCTCCCGAACCACAAATGGAAGCTGGTTCCACAGAAGAGGAGCTTGGTAACTGAAGGCTCTGGCTCCTGTTCTACTTTTAGAGACTATAGGAACCACAAGTAGCCCAGCATTCAGAGAACGTAGTGTTCTAGAGGGGTAATAGGGTACTATGAGCTCTTTAAGATATGAAGGGGCCTGACCATGAAGAGCTTTATAGGTGAGGAGGAGGATTTTAAATTCTATTCTACATTTTATAGGGAGCCAATGCAGAGTAGCTAGTACAGGAGAGATGTGATCTCTTTTTCTAGTTCCTGTCAGTACTCGTGCTGCAGCGTTCTGAATTAATTGGAGCGTTTTAATGGACTTATTGGGGCAACCTGATAATAAAGAGTTGCAGTAATCCAGCCTTGAAGTAACAAATGCATGGATTAGTTTTTCTGCATCTGTCTGTGATAGTATGTGTCTAATTTTTCTAATATTACGTAAATGAAAGAAGGCAGTCCTAGAGGTCTGCTTTATGTGGGAGTTAAATGACAAATCCTGATCAAAGATAACTCCAAGATTCCTGACAGTGGTGCTAGAGGCCAAGTTAATGCCATCTAGAGTAACTATATCTTTAGACAGTGAGTCTCTAAGGTTTTTGGGGCCAAGAACAAGAATTTCGTTTTTTTCTGAGTTTAACATCAGAAAATTGCAGGTCATCCAGGATTTTATGTCCTTAAGACATGTTTGTAATTTAGATAATTGATTAATTTCATTGGGCTTGATCGATAGATATAACTGCGTATCATCTGCATAACAGTGAACGTTAATGGAGTGATTCCTAATAATGTTGCCTAAAGGGAGCATATATAAAGTAAATAATATTGGTCCAAGTACAGAACCTTGTGGAACTCCATGACTAACTGTAGTATTTATTGAAGATTCATCGTTAACATGTACAAACTGCGAACGATCTGATAAATATGACTTAAACCAGCTTAGTGCGGTTCCTTTAATGCCAATTTGATGCTCAAGTCTCTGTAAAAGAATATCATGGTCAATGGTGTCAAATGCAGCACTAAGATCTAATAATACAAGTACAGAGACAAGTCCATTGTCAGAAGCAATCAGAAGGTCATTAACTTTAACCAGAGCTGTCTCTGTGCTGTGATGAACTCTAAATCCTGACTGAAAATCCTCAAAATAATAACATGTTCTACAAAGGTAAATAACAACAGTGATATGTTTAAATAATAACATCTTCTACAAAGGTAAATAACAACAGTGATATGTTTAAATAATAACATTTTCTACAAAGGTAAATAACAACAATGATATATAAATAATAACATGTTCTACAAAGGTAAATAACAACAATGATGATGATGATAATGTGTTTCAGATGAAGATGGCGACCTGGTGGCGTTCTCCTCTGATGATGAGCTGATGATGGGTCTGGCCTGCATGAAGGACGCCACCTTCCGCGTCTTCATCAAAGGTGCAAACACAGGAAGGCTTTTATTGTGAAAGATACACAGATAAACTGTTTGTTTGTTTGTAATAAAGTTTTATTGAACTTTTTCAGAGAAGAAGGAGCACCGTCGAGACTTTCCTCTCCACGCCTTCCCTCCGTTCGCATTCGGCCACCATCCTCCTCCTCCTCCTGGAGCTCCTCATGCCCCGCCCCCTCATATGGCCCAGCCCCCGGCCCTGCACCCTAACGTCACCTGTGACGGCTGCGAGGGGCCCGTGGTGGGAACCCGCTTCAAGTGCTCTGTCTGTCCCAACTACGACCTGTGCTCCGCCTGTCAGGCTCGAGGGACGCACACTGAGCACGCTCTGCTGCCCATCTGGCACCCGCTGCAGGTGAGGGCCTGACCACGCCCACCAGTGAGGTCACACTGTGACATCACTGTAGTGGTTGTTAATTAATTAAACAATAATTCATAATTCATCAATAGTTGTATGTGAATTATAGTTTGTGTTTACTGGTCAACTCAGTGATGTCTGCAGGCTGAAGCTCCACCAATCAGAGGTTGAGTTTGCTTCAGAGGGGGAGGAGCCTGACAGACTGAACGCCCTGCTCTCCAACTGTCAGGGTGTTGTGGTGAACTGTTGTGCTTCCTGTCTGTAGTGGTTCCCTCGGGGGAAGTGGATGAAGAGGATGAGACACTGCATGTGGAACCAGAACCTGAACCAGGCTCAGACCCCAAGCCAGGACCAGGACCAGGACCAGGACCAGCCCGGATCCTCTGGACCTGCTGCTGACGGCAGCGCCCCCTCTGGTCAGTGTTTGTTGATAAAAATAATCTGATTAATGATCAGTAAAGTGATGACACCATCAGTGACCTCTGACCTCTGCCTGCAGTCTCTCAGGCCAACATGGTCTACCTGAAGAACATCGGAGAGGGCGTGGCTGCCATGTTGAGCCCGCTGGGTGAGTGATGGTTGACAGGATGTGATTTTCAAAGTAATAATGCAGCTAAAATTGAGTGAACAAAACAGTAAGTGATGTCACATGTGTGCCCGCAGGTATCGACGTGGACATCGATGTGGAGCACGATGGCCAGAGGACCAAGGTGAACCCGCCCCCTCAGAGTGGGGGGGCAGAAGGTGACATGGAGATAGGTGGAGCTAATGAGGGCGCAGCCAGCAGCAAGGGCGGAGCCAATGAGGAGTCAAAGGTCAGTGCAGATCAATGATGCATTCAGGTGTCTAAAGATAAATTCATTATCTGGAAGCTCATGATGATTACTATTTATTGATCGTGTTAAATATCAATGCATGTTTTTATTAAATTAACAATCAATAATTACAATGACATCAGCCAATCAGAGAGAGGGGGCGGTGCTGAGTTGGTCACACTGTCACCATGGAAACAGAGGTAGTCTGGTGTAACCCTGGTCTTCCTATGCAGGTGTGCAGAGACTCTGATGAGGAGTGGACTCACCTGAACCCCCGAGAGGTGGACCCCTCCACCGGAGAGCTGCAGTCCCTGCAACCCGGGGACCAGGACCGGGAGCAGGAGCCTCCATCAGGACAGCAGGGTCCAACAGGTCTAAGGGAGGCGGCTCTGTACCCTCACCTGCCTCAAGGTAAGACCAGGTCCTGGTCCTGTTATATTTGTGAGTGATGTCCCGGCCGACCTCTGACCGTGTCTGACCTCTGTGCCCCCCCCCAGAGGCAGACCCCCGCCTGGTGGAGTCCCTGTCCCAGATGCTGTCGATGGGGTTCACTGACGAGGGCGGCTGGTTGACTCGACTCCTTCAGGCCAAAAACTACGACATCGGCGCCGCGCTGGACGCCATCCAGTACGCCAAACAGCCCCGCCCACACCAGCCCTGATGACATCATCAATTATACTCACCCAATGATTTATACTGCTGTCCCTGTAATCTGATTACTTTCATTAATCAATACTTTAACTAATGGATTACTGTCTCTGTTATTAATCAATACTTTATCTCATTGGTTACTGTCTGTCTATCTTTGTTTCTGTGAATCTGACCAATAAAAACATGAAGAACTGAACCTGTCACTTTATTCTGATCAATACTTATCAATACAGTCCTAACACACCAAACTGTAGTATGAATATGTACAGCGTGAACAAAAAATCAATACTTGAATGGATCAATCTATAAATCAGCTGATCCACAGACAGCGAAAGGATTAATATCGGTCGACTGGTTGATAATCAGTCATTCAGGAAGTCGTCGTCGAAGTTGAACTCGTCTCCGCTCTGAAACATGGAGGAAACAGGAAGCAGGGGGCGGGGCCTGGAGGAGGGTGGGGTGATGATGACATTACAGGAAAGAGATGCAGCCCGGCCCACTGACTGACTCCGCCCACTGGCTGCTGGCTCCTCCTCCTCCTCACTCACTTGACAGTCAGAACTCAGGAACTGAGCCCACCTGCTGACTGCATCAGTACCCACGCCCCTCTGACTGGGAGGACTGGAGTCCCTCTGACTGGGAGGACTGTAGTCCCTCTTACTGGGAGGACTGGAGTCCCTCTTACTGGGAGGATTGATGTGGTTCAGACAGGGAGGACTCGAGTCCCTCTTCCTTGGAGGATTGATGTGGTTCAGACTGGGAGGACTGGAGTCCCTCTTACTGGGAGGATTGATGTGGTTCAGACTGGGAGGACTGGAGTCCCTCTTACTGGGAGGATTGAGGTGGTTCAGACTGGGAGGACTGGAGTCCCTCTTACTGGGAGGATTGATGTGGTTCAGACTGGACCAGTTGGGCTGCAGACAGAAGTCAGAAGGTTAAACTGGTTCTTTAAAGGAACCATCTAACAAGTTCAATTTTCAATTCAATTCAGTTCAGTTTTATTTGTGTAGCACCAATTCATAACAGAAGTTATCTCAGGACACTTTTCAAATAGAACAGGTCTAGACCGAACTCTTTAACATTAATTACAGAGACCCAACAGTACCACCATGAGCAAGACCTTGGAGACAAGGGCAAGGAAACACTGCCTGTTAAAAGGCAGAAACCTAGGACAGATCCTCCGGCTCTAGGTGGGTGGTCGTTAAAGCATAAAGACTGTAGACAGGGGCAACTGTTAGCATAGCTTAGCATAAAGACTAAACAGAGGCAACTGTTAGCATAAAGACTAGAAATGGGGAAATGTAGCCTAGCTTAGCTTAAAGACTGATCAATCAGGTGACATTAGCTTTAATTAATGCTGTTGATGATGTCATGATGATGTCAGTAAGTTACCATTTCAGGTATCCAGCTGTCTGTTCTTCTTTTTCTCCTCTTCCTGTCAGAACAACAGGAAGTTCAACATCACAGAAGATAAAAAGGTTTACAATCAATACAATTGATACTCTGGTATTGATCGTCAGTATCAGTGATTAATGCAATCGATACTCTGATATTGATCGTCAGTATCAGTGATTAATACAATCGATACTCTGATATTGATCGTCAGTATCAGTGATTAATACAATCGATACTCTGATATTGATCGTCAGTATCAGTGATTAATACAATCGATACTCTGATATTGATAGTCAGTATATCAGTGATTAATACAATCGATACTCTGGTATTGATCGTCAGTATCAGTGATTATGCATTCACTGCACTCTCTTTCTTTACCGCAACCGACCAATCAGAATCTGCCTCATTAATCACTTTATTCAGGAAGTTAATTAATGATAAATAAAAACCTGTTTCTGTCTCACCTCAAGTGTGTTTTAGAACCCACTCTGCTGACTGACAGGTATGTGACCTGTAAAAGCACTAACACACCTGTCAATCATGTTGTTGCCATGGAGCTTCTGCCTCTCCATCAAAACATTCTCCTCCTCCTCTGGGTCCACCTCCTCAGGTGTGTCCAGGTATTTGCTCCAGCAGCTCACCTGAGTGTGAGTCATCTGAAGGGCAAGAGAGGAACACAATGAACAGGTTTTACAACCTTCAGCTGTATGTTGGATCTCTCTGAGTGCTGGTGCCTGAGAACGCCACTCGGAGGGGGGATCACTGAGCTTTGAATTGTCAACAGAAGGCATCAGTTTCCTCTTTAAAATGGTAGGTCGCCTGGGTTTCTATATGCAGCTGAAGCAAATGAAGGATCATTATAGAGTTCCCAAAGGCTTAATTATGTTTCAACTCCACTTTAGGCCATATGAACTGTCAGACAGCTTTAAAAACAACAACATTATACAGGGGTCGAATAATTGTGACATGGCTCTCTTAACAATATACTCTTACACACAAATACTACAGCATGCATTTTCTGTGTTGATTTTATGTATCACTCAACTCATAAAGAAGTCATCTGAAGCAGAATCTTACTCTTTAAAAACTTTAACTGAACCTTAAAATCTTTTTGGGTTGAATATTTCTGATTGCAACTGTGGGTGATATATGTGTAATATATAGGTGATATATCTGTAATATGTGTGATATAGGTGATATATGTGTAATATATAAGTGATATATAGGTGATATATGTGTGTGATATATGGGTGATATGTGTAATATATGTGTGATATATGTGTGATATATAGGTGATATGTGTAATATATGTGTGATATATAGGTGATATATGTGTGATATATATGTGATACATAGGTGATATATGTGATATATAGGTGATATATGTGTGAAATATGTGATATATAGGTGATATGTGATACATAGGTGATAAGTGTGAGATATATGTGTGATATATGTGTAATATATGTGTGATATATGTGTGATATATAGGTGATATATAGGTGATAGATATATATATGAAAAAGTAGTCGCCAAAGAGTTGTGTGACTTTCTACATAACAATAGTTTATTTGAGGATTTTCAGTCAGGATTTAGAGTTCATCACAGCACAGAGACAGCTCTGGTTAAAGTTAATAATGACCTTCTGATTGCTTCTGACAATGGACTTGTCTCTGTACTTGTATTATTAGATCTTAGTGCTGCATTTGACACCATTGACCATAATATTCTTTTACAGAGACTTGAGCATCAAATTGGCATTAAAGGAACCGCACTAAGCTGGTTTAAATCATATTTATCAGATCGTTCGCAGTTTGTACATGTTAACGATGAATCTTCAATAAATACTACAGTTAGTCATGGAGTTCCACAAGGTTCTGTACTTGGACCAATACTATTTACTTTATATATGCTCCCTTTAGGCAACATTATTAGGAATCACTCCATTAACTTTCACTGTTATGCAGATGATACGCAGTTATATCTATCGATCAAGCCCAATGAAATTAATCAATTATCTAAATTACAAACATGTCTTAAGGACATAAAATCCTGGATGACCTGCAATTTTCTCATGTTAAACTCAGAAAAAAACGAAATTCTTGTTCTTGACCCCAAAAACCTTAGAGACTCACTGTCTAAAAGATATAGTTACTCTAGATGGCATTAACTTGGCCTCTAGCACCACTGTCAGGAATCTCGGAGTTATCTTTGATCAGGATTTGTCATTTAACTCCCACATAAAGCAGACCTCTAGGACTGCCTTCTTTCATTTACGTAATATTAGAAAAATTAGACACATACTATCACAGACAGATGCAGAAAAACTAATCCATGCATTTGTTACTTCAAGGCTGGATTACTGCAACTCTTTATTATCAGGTTGCCCCAATAAGTCTAGACTCCAATTAATTCAGAACGCTGCAGCACGAGTACTGACAGGAACTAGAAAAAGAGATCACATCTCTCCTGTACTAGCTTCTCTGCATTGGCTCCCTGTAAAATGTAGAATAGAATTTAAAATCCTCCTCCTCACCTATAAAGCTCTTCATGGTCAGGCCCCTTCATATCTTAAAGAGCTCATAGTACCCTATTACCCCTCTAGAACACTACGTTCTCTGAATGCTGGGCTACTTGTGGTTCCTATAGTCTCTAAAAAGTAGAACAGGAGCCAGAGCCTTCAGTTACCAAGCTCCTCTCCTGTGGAACCAGCTTCCATTTGTGGTTCAGGAGGCAGACACCCTCACCACATTCAAGAGTAGGCTTAAGACATTCCTCTTTGATAAAGCTTATAGTTAGGGCTGGATCAGGTGAGTCCTGAACCATCCCTTAGTTATGCTGCTATAGGCCTAGACTATCGGGGGATTTCCCATGGTGCACTGAGCTCCTCCCTTCCTCTCTCTTTCTGCACTCATTCATGTCCCATTAATGCATGTTACTAACTTCACTTCTTCCCCGGAGTTCTTGTGCTTTCTCATCTCGCAGGTTCTTGTCGATCCTGGTGGAGCCTCCTGCCATGGTCCTGCTAGATTGCCATTGCCAATACTGTTGTTGCTGTGCACCTGTCTGTCTGTCTCTCGCTCTCTCTCTCTCTGCCTCTCTCTCTCTCTCTCTCTCTCACCCCAACTGGTCGAGACAGACGACCACCCACCTAGAGCCGGAGGATCTGTCCTAGGTTTCTGCCTTTTAACAGGCAGTGTTTCCTTGCCCTTGTCGCCAAGTGCTTGCTCATGGTGGTACGGTTGGGTCTCTGTAATTAATGTTTTAAAGAGTTCGGTCTAGACCTGCTCTATTTGAAAAGTGTCCTGAGATAACTTCTGTTATGAATTGGCGCTATACAAATAAAATTGAATTGAATTGAATAAGTTTTAAGATTATCTTGCCGAATTGAGCGATATTCTGATAATTTGGTGTCATTACCGTCATATATGTGTGATATATAGGTGATATATGGGTGATATATGTGTGATATATAGGTGATATATGTGTGATATATAAGATAAGAGAGCAAGGAAAGTGTCTGAGCAGGTACGACGGCTGCTGACTTCACCGGTGCCATCTAAAAACAATACAATATACAAAACAATATAGGTGATATGTGTGATATATGTGTAATATATGTGTGATATATAGGTGATACATGTGTGATATATGTGTAATGTATGTGTGATATATAGGTGATATATGTGTGATATATAGGTGACATATGTGTAATATATGTGTGTGATATATATATGTGATATATGTGTGATATAACCTCAGTGTAAAATATGTTGCTATGTTGACAGACGAGTCTGAACAGACACACCCTAAGCTCACTGTACAATCCTCATGAGTCATATTAAATTCTGCAGCTCCCTCACAGAACATTCAAACACTGCAGCAGAGCATCAAATACATCTGACTGCAGATCAGCCAACAGCAATATTCAACTGTAACAGCTGCTTTCAACCACTGGAGGACAGTCGCTCGAATTAGTTTGCACTAAAGTGTGCAGATGTGGACCTGAATCCATCATCAACATAGTAAACACCCACACAGTTATTCTTATTATATATATATATATATATATATATATATATATATATATATATATATATATAATATTCTTATTAGGGATCGAGCACTGACAAGTGCAAGACCCTATTGTTCCTGTTAAAATTATTATTATTATTATTATTTGGTGCCTGTTTGACCGCATATTTGACCCCCGCAGCATTCTCAAAAAGTCATGAAAATTTGCACAAAATTCAAACGTAGCGAAAATATCGATATGACATTGTCCCCGTGCACGGGCGCCGCCAAACGGCTAAGCCACGCCCCAGAGAAACAGCCCCCAAGACACGTAAGGCCCACATGTACGAAAATTGGTACGCATGTGTATGATGATAAAAGAAGCAGAAAAGTCTCAAGGACCCATACCTCAAACCCAACAGGAAGTCGGCCATTTTGGATTTTGTGGCCATTTTTGGCGATTTACACACGCTGTATTTGAACGAACTCCTCCTAGGGCATTTATCGGACCGACTTCAGATTTGGACACAGCCATCTAAACACATTCAGTATTAAAAGTTGAGCTATTCAGGTTATTCCGTCAAACATCGTGCATGTGGCGTGGCGTCCCGTGTCGTGCAATTTCGATCCTTCGCCATAAAAAGAGGGATTCGTCATAACTTCTGCATACATGATCCGACTGCAACGAAACTTAACATGTCTGATAAGAGTTCCGCCCTGAACACATAGTGATAGCTCCACCTAGTGGCAACAGGAAGTAAGTGCTGCGTGGCAATTTTGAGCTGATTTACGTGACATTTTACGCGCCGGTTGCGAGATCCCGTTCATCGCTGCTTGCAGCTTTAATTATATATATTTCTTTAATATCCATGTGAACAGATGAAGTTACCTGTATTATCTGTGAAAATAGCAAGAGGGGCGGGGTTTATTAAGCATTATTAACACCTGTATAATTAGTTCATTTCTATGTTTATAATTAATAAACTCACAAAAAAACATTGACAACCTTCATTAGACATTTCTTATATATGAAATGAATTAATGATGTACGTTACCTGTGTGTGTACTTGTGGGTCTCTCTCTACCTCAGGTTCATCCTCTCCGTCTGCCTCCGTCTGCTTCCTGTGAACAACCAGCAGACAGGTGAGAACACATGGATGGGAAACGAGCTGCTGTTGCATTATGGGATGGGTTGGTTACCATAGTGACCAGGTGTTGTGCTCCTGCTCCTCCATCACCACTCCTCTCATGGCGTTCAGTTTCTGAACGTGGCGTCTGCAGTCGGCCCCGGAGCCCCGCCCAAACTCCTGTCAACCAAACAGCACGCAGGTTAGAATACACCTGTTGTTAGATAATAATACCTTGAGCAGCGACTGTTTCATTAATAACATTGATAATATAAATCATTGACTCTGCCTCCAAGAGAGAGACGTTAACAGACTCTCTCCTACAAATTGAGAATCTTAATGGCTGTGTGTTATGTTATTACATGTTTTTGTTTGAATTAATTTATACAAACTCATTAACTTTGCCAACCCAATAAAGTTGGCTTCACA